AGTCAAAATCACAAGTTCCAAGAAAATTTAATCTAGATATCACATTGGAGAAAAAAATCAAATATATTCAACCCATCAATAGATTTTTAAGCTGTTTTCATATTTTTTTCCTTTTAGCCATCTCTCTGAATTAATGAAGTAGGCCTTCTTTTCTTATGTAAAAGTGGCCCTTAACCTTCAAAGTTATGTAACTGAACAAGTATCTTCAGAAGTTTCATGTCAGAAAGACTTTATTTTCATTATAAAATTCTTCACTCAAATTAAAATAGTTTGCAATTTTCTGACAACTTTTAACACAAGGTATGTAAATCATTTTAAAGTTCTGAACGCCATTGATCAAAATACTGTAACGCTGTAACGCCATTCATAGCACATGGTAGTAGTTTACACTCTCCAAATGGAAACAACCAATCAAAATAAAGATGTGTATGGCCTGATGTCAGCTGACATAATCACACTACAACACATAACACATTTCATAACAACCAGATGAACATTTGGAAATCATCGTGCTACAGGCTTACAGAATTCAACTCTATTAATGTCTCAACTTTGTGAAAAGAAAGCGCTTGTAAATCAAATTGCTCTGTATTTTTAAATTTGAGTAAATTATTTTTGAAATATTTTATAATAAACTAGATCCCCTGTTCCCAACCTGGGGTGTTTTCACCCCTTGGGAGTGTGAGACTAGGGTGTCAGAAGTGTGGCCAACTGTTGTAGGAGAAGAATTTATTTGGAATTGAAAGGGCACCTAACATCAACACATGCTGGAAATGAAGCAAATTTTTGGGGTTGTGTAAGGTCCATGTGATTGCTCCAGGGATGTGAAGGCTGGAAACTACCAAACTGAATTTTCATTTGAAAAAAAATTGGAGAAGGCCTATTTTGTAGCATTTTTGGCAAAAATTCAACTTTTTAATATCATTTTCAAATTTTGACGACATCTTTATGGATTTATGTACATTATTTCTATTTTTGTTCTAAATTAAGTAATAAAGGTTCCTTTCAGGACATTTTTCTTTGAAATATCAGAAACATGTCAAAAGTTTTGGGAAAATTAAGAATTTAGAGCTCTTACAATCAGGCCTGTAGCAAGCCCAATATTGTTGAACTGCAATTCTTCAAGTCAAAACTTGAATGATTCTCTTAGCTGACTGTTTTAAATTAGACAAGATGAAGACTTCTGCCTTTACTTAAGACTGATTTCATTGAAAACTCTAATAAAATTAATTACAGCTTTAACAAGATCTTTATATGTACGTTTAAAAAGTGTGGCGCCACTCTTCCCTGATACTTTGAAGTTCTCTGCAAGTCATAAAAAGAAATGATGCGTGGGCGTCAGAATAATTTAAAAGTTTTTTGCCTGAGTTTTTAATCTTATGTCATCTATTATAATGCCAAACAGATTTGTATAAAGAAGAGAATATACCTTCAATTTGAATCAAAAAGACCTGCTGGTACTAAAACAGTAAACTTTATCAGTTCTGATGTTTTTATCTTAATAGTCTTACCGAAATGTGTTCAGCAGGACAAAACTTAGATTTAGTGTTATGGTGAAATGAGAATAGAAGTCATAGAAAGCACAGGCCTAGGTCCAAAGCAAGGACTATTCATTTCAAAGTGCCGATAAGCGTGGTTTGTTAAATTATTAAAATTTTCAGGTTGTACAGCCTTGTATAATGCAAATGTCTATTTACATTGAAGTTGAAGCGCCTAATAGGCATAGCATTTGCTTGCTGACTAAAAGATACCCTAGAGAATCCATCCTCCGGTTTATATACCAAAATATCACAAAAGAGTCATGCTTTGGATTTTCCAAACCATTTTCTACCCCTGTTATTTGTACTTTCCAAGGCTATAGCATAATGGAGGCAAAATGATCTGACTTTTGAAATGACAACCAAACTTAAGAAGTGTCTTTTTTGCAACTATGTATTTTATATCCATGCAGGCCTGTTTTTTGCCTCATTTTAATTTGATTACGCTACAGCATTTTGTTTCTATCGAGTAACAGAATGGCTCAACTATTTGCTTCTATTAAATCCAGAGATAGAAATCAAGAAATTTGTGAGCTCCAGACTGTTTGATGGGTTAGTGAAAATAGCCCTAAGGGTATCTGAAGAGTTCTTTAGACCAAACGTCTGATAAGCAGAACACGTAATCGGTCCAAGATCAAAGCGAAAACTAACTGTTAACAATAGCTAATTGTTCATCATTCAATCTATATTAATTTTCTACTGTAAACAACTTGGTAGAGGACAGCTGGATTAAGCTGGCATAAATTGGAGAGAAAGTGAGAGAAAGCCAAACCACAGTCTCATCTGACAGGGCATCTGTATTGAATTGTAGCCAAATAGAACACTTTAACCTTAGTATTAAATCTTGCCAAGATTTTATTGTAATAGGGGGAAAAGCACAAAAAGGCAATGGAGAATAGGACAGAATGCACTCCACGAAAAAATTATAAGAAATCAGAAATTCATTGGGTTTGGACATGGGCAATGTTTCCCGAAATCTTTAGAAGGGCATGGCATATGCCTGAGATAGAGAGGGGGGATTACTCTCCATAATATTAATAAGCCTACTTAATTAAAAAAAATTAAAAAATTTGCAACTTTTTACCATGATCTAAGATGTTTCTTCTACAAAGTAAGCCATTTTTAATTGTGTGCAGAAAAAGAGTAGCTTTGGTTCAAAAATAATTAAGTAATTTTTTCAGAAAATTTTGGCAATTCAAAATGACACGCTCTTCCGGCATGAATGGTATTACACTGTATAAAAAAAAGAATAAAGTTGTCAAAATGTGTTAACATATTTTGTGTACATGTAAATGTCTTATTAAAATCTTATCTTAATAGTTCCAACCTGATTTTAGATAAAAAATTAACTCAGAAATTGTTAGAGTATTTTAGAGAAATTAGTTCTTTGAAATGGTAATGAGTAAAAAAAAATTCCTGCTATTTTCATGTTTTTAACAGACCTTCTGCTATTTTATATAATTTGTTCTGTTATCTACTTTTCTAAAAGTGGTTGAAACGATGGAAATTGATCAACTATGGTTTGAAAAAATTTGAAAAAGGCTTTTTTTTAAGTTTACAAAAATGCTATCATCCAAAATGAACTAAATGCTCAAAAGGGGAGAGTGAGTTTGCTTCATAAAAACAGTCTGACTAAAAAATATGATGAACATTAAAGAGGGCTGTCATTAGACCCGAACTGAAGTGGCTATATCAAAAAAAAAGCTAATAAAAAATTGAATGAAAGTTCGCATAAAAACCGGAATTATGACCAAGTCCTTTATCCCAGTGGCCAATGATATATCAATTTTATATTTCTTTAAGTGTCATTAAAAGAAGTAATCCTTATAGAATTCATTTGTTTAGAAATTGTTATCAAAGTTGATTTTCGATTTTTTTTTCATCATCAATTTTATCTCCTTTTTTTTATAATATAATAAAGATATCACAAAATATACCAAGTAAATCAGTGTATACTCCCACACTAAAAAATATATATCTCACTTCTGCATTAAATCTGAATTTACAGTTGAAAAATTATTAAAAAATTGCATCATCTCTTTTAGAACTCTTTAACATTTGAAGATTCCAAGTTTGTAAAAAGTCATGTTGTTCTTTTATCTTAATCACCTTCCAAATTAAATTTCATTCTTCAGATTTTGACAGACGTGAAATGCATTTGGTACTTGTATCTATGTTTCTGCTCACTAGGACGCCATGTTCTTTTACCGAAAATCTTATTAATCAAAACTGAAATTTTATGTTCTACTGATAAAATTTACTAAAATCTTTGATAAAAAATTACTAAAATATATCATAACAAATGCAGTTGTTATCAAAAAGTAGATTTTTGGCATTTACATAAAAAAAAACAAAAAATGCATAATCAAGATGGCGCCCCAGGATGGAAAATAATTCAATGATTATTTTGACTATTTACAAAGGAGATAAAATTCCTATTATAAGACCATAAGATTTTACGAGAAAATATGAATCAGAAGAAAATTCTTGAAAAAGGCCTTGATATTAAATACAACAGAAATCCAATGAAAAATAAATGGTGTCTGTGAAATGAGCAGTGATTTCAAATTCCGAAATTCTGAAAATTATCCAAAAAAAAACAACGTACAGCAACTATATGGCTCGTACGGTTGTCTGTTTCTTTGGAAAATCTTAAATGTTTTTATCTTAGTATAAATTAGCCAATGGCATTAATTTTCAAAAAGGTGGGCAACCATGAAACAAAATGACTGGATGTTGAGAGATCATAATCACAAGACTGGTACAATCTAGACTATACATATGAACTTTCGTATGTAATAATGTTATTCTAAGATAATTTCTCTGAGGCTTGAACACAATAAGATCTAACGAAGTAGTATTTGGATTCTAACAACAAACATGGCACCAAGTTGCCTATTCTCAGGACATTTTCACCTTTGAGTGTCGGTACCAGATGTTAGCGGTTAGATCATGTTATTCTTGATTCTCATCTTACCATTATTATATGATATAGTACCGAATGGCTTACTGAAAATAATCTTTTATTAACCATCCTACGCTTTTTTCATTGATTGCAAAGAACAACATTGGCTTGGAGAGCAAATCACCTTACATTACTACATAACCAAAACTTTCAGTAAATTCAGGTTCTCAGATTCAGAGTTTTAAAATGTTTCAGGATCCAAATTTTTTTCATCAGTTGAGAATAATAATTCAATTTTGGCAGGATTGAAGTTCAGGTACAAGAAAAAAAAAACAAAAGAAAATATTCTTTTGTAATAATTAAATATTGATTCGGACATTTTTTTGTATTCAATAAGCCTGAATCTGAATTAAAAATTTCTTTCATTCTTTGTATCCAAAACTCTTTCATTTTATTTTTCTAAATTTTGTAACATAAGAATTGCAGAAGAAGCTGGGAACATTTGTTCAACAAAATAGCAGCTCTATCAGAGAGTATTTTCTTTACACATCTTATATTTAGATTCCAAATAGATCAGTTTTATTGTAAAAACATAGCGCCCGTTTATTTTTCTCATTTTTTATCCCAAAAGCAACTTTCTCATCACTGCCGTCTGATGTCATTGGAGCAGATGAAATTCTTGTATCTTGGATTCAATTTGATAAATAAATATCATTTGGTCTAATAAACACAATTGAAAATTTCTACAGTCTAACTTGATAAGATTTAAGCATTTGATTTCCAAATATTAATGGAAAATTGAACAGAGGATAGTAATATTTTGAAAATTAAGGACCTAAAATACTGTAACAGCCACTATTGTCAATATAAAACGGAATAGGAGTTTTACATACATTCAAAGCAATGCGGTGTACAATGAGGGAAATTTTACAATGGGGTATAAGACTACTTTTGTTCAATTGACAACTGTCAAGGGATCTTTTTTTGTGCACAAACTGTAGCACACAAGTTTGCCAATTTCAGCTGCATTGAATTGTCAAAACTGTACAATGGTATCCAACTTCCCCCAAAAAGATAAAATATTTGACTTACCAGAATAGCCTGCTAAAGCTGCTGCTTGAATCATTGGCTTGTGATGATCTCCATCAGGTGACCCAACACGAAGACTATGGAACGGAGATGGACCCATACTAGATCGTAAATCAGTGGGCTGCCAGCTGTCAGTGAGATCTGGGGAATGGCCGTACTCGGCTGTGGACCAGGGTCGTTCTTGTTTGATACTTGGAACTGTTTGGTACGGTGAATCATAGTAATGTTCCTGTGGCGGCGTATCTGGCAGGTAATGTCCTGGAATTAAAATAAGGAATAAATTAATTGTCAGCAAATTACTTTAACCTTAAAATTGACGACTCCTGTTTTGTTCACTTTTTTACAGTCAGAATTGGGTCTAGGCAAGACAAGTGCACCATGGGATTTGTTTCGTATGTCTCATCAATGCCAAGGTAACATCATCTCAATACTATTCCACTGGGGTGGAACTTTAGATGGAATGGCAGAACCAGTTTACAGTAAACTTAGGCTACAGACTACAGAAATTCCCAGTTTCAAGGCTTAATATCTAATGGAACTTGAAAAGAGGAATTTTGAGTGCTGCACATTCAATTTGGATATAAATTCATTATTGTAAGTCATTATTAAAGTCAAATTCTAAATAAAACTGAAACTCAACAAAATGTAATTTATGCTTCAACTAGTATACTCAGTGAACTACCAAAAGCTGACAAAAATGAAGGGCAAAGCAGTTATTAAAGAAATTGCACTTAGAATCTGACCCTTAAACTTATATAGAAACCAGAAACACAGCAACTCACAAATATACTTCTGCTTGCCAAAACTTAAATGTTATTGTACAAAGAAGTTCCGACTTAAATTGGCACAAATTACTTGAAACAACTGGGGAAAATAACATTTTATAAATACCATATTTTAGGACAATAAATTCCCACACAATAATGGAGAAGAATATAATATTTACCAGATTGGTGTGTACAGTAAAATGTAGCCTTTTTTGAAGATTGGTACCCAGCAATCAGAAAAAATAGACTAAAATGTTACTGAAATGCCTGACTAAATCTCTAGGGTCGAAGGAGGGAAAGTGTCAATTAAGAATAAATCTCAACGGCTTCTATCCTAAAATACCACAAATTATCCAAAAGGTACAAATTATGTACTGAAATCAAGCCAAAAGGTTATGTAATTGTATAATTTAGCACGTCTGCATTGTTTCTGCAATTTGAAAAGCCTGTATCAACCTGAACTGAAAATGTCATTGTAGAAAAAGCGAAACTGTACTGTGGTGAACTCCATTCCCAAATGTATATCTAACTTATGACCTTTTTAAAATGGCACTGGAGTGAAAAGAGATGAGATTTTCCATTCAAAACGTTGATAGACTTGTGACCTTTAACCTTTTTTTTGGTTGATGGGAGCCGATTTGGTTCCACTGGTACCATTTACAGACAAAACAAACCAGTTTATGATGATTTCATTATGCTCTTGATTAGCTTTCATTCATAGAGTTTTTGTTTTTAGCCACAGGTTTTCTCATGGTTTTTATCAATGGAAATCTTTCTTTCATTCACATTTCCTCACAAACCTGGCTTTCATCTGCTGCCAGAAATCAAAATGGACGATCATCGGTAAACTTATGTAAACAAAATAATGGCTAGATTTTTATAAACTTTGCCGTAAACTGAATACCATGATCTTTTGATATAGAAATCTGAAAAGGATGCATAAGCTTATTCGATTCCCTTAATCAAAATTCAAAAACCTTCAATTCTGCAAGACAGAGAAACATGTGAGCTCAGATAGCCATTAAGATCAAAAGTACACATCTGTTTGCTTTTGAAAATCAAGACAAAAATAACTTTTAAGAATGTTACCAAAAAATGCACTTTAATTCAATTTCTGAATCATGAAAAGCACTGAGAAACATGCAGGAGAAGTGTGAAAAATGTCAGGGTTATAATTTATAATGCAGAAAGTGTGAACTGTAATAACAAGGGCACACGTTACTAATTGACTTGGTAGCCATCTTGATTGAAGTTGAGCGGTAAAAGACAAAAGTTGCAGCAGAGGGGAATGAGTGTGTGATGTTCAAAGACCACCCAGTGTCTAGCCCCATAGGCTAATCAGTACTTAAGATATCATCACGTTTTCTGTACAATACTGTCATATAATATTAGACTGATATAGAGATTACATAGTTATCTAAGTGGCAGGGATTGTGATGCTTTAATTTTCACCAGCCAACTTGGAAGTTGGAACATCAAGGAAATGAATGAAATGGAATTTTACATCCTACTTTTTAAGATAAACAATGCTATGTATTGTGCAATGAGGGAAATCTTGCATAAAAATTGAAAGAAAAAACCTATATACATTTGTACATTTTTAAGTGTAACCACTTAAGTTTCTTTTTGTCCAGTCATCCAGCTGTTGTATGGAGCTGCATAAAAACAAAACTTCAGAAAATTTTAGGATTAGGCAAATTTATTGTCTTTTAAGAATCAAAAATATTAACTTCCTTTTCAAATAGAATCAAAAAGTACAAAAATTACTGATTCAAACCAGCCATCAAAAATTCAGGCAAACTGAATATGACAATTCACTTTAACCAGTAGCCTATTTCTAGAAAACAACAATTCTTTTCAAATTATGTTTGACAGCATGAGGTAACTTTTCATTTCATCTTCATTAAGTAACTGGATTATCTTTTAAAACAATTTCCATACTTTTAAAACTTGGCTTCTGTTTCTGACCTTCTAAAATGAAGAGCTGAAACACCTGCATTCTATATTCTACATTACAGCACACAAAAACTCCTGTTATACCTTTGTTCAATTTAAATCTGGCACCAAGCCATTTTCACCTGATATTATTCAGGATAAAAAGTGTGTGAAAAGATGAAATTCTCATCCATTATTTTAATTTGAATCACAACAGACGGGCTCAAAGATAAACAATATGGCAGCCAGTACAAGCTATCCACCCTCACACCGACACATTTTTGGCATCAGTCTGAAATTCTTGCACAAATTACCAAGCATCGACATTTGTATTACAGATAATATGATTGTTTTTATATATGTATTATTACATGAATGAAATGAGATGTTTTTTTCGTTGTCATTTGATAAGATTTCATTTCAATATTATCAGTGTTCTTCCTGTTTCATGTAAATTTTCACAAAACCTAGCAAACATATGTAAATAATAAAAAAAAACAACAAAAACACATCTCTTGTCCTCCCATATTTTGAAAACAAATTTCAAAATGTAATCACACCCATGATAAAGATAAAGCCAGCAGAAACTTTCTAGCACACCAACTGGATAGAATCCACCTCAATAGAAATTGCATATAAAGTAGAAAAAATTATCATGCCATGGCATGTTTCGTAGTTTCAATTGGGACTACTTATTTGAAAATATTCTTGAACAACTAATTAACAGGGGTAAACATCAGTGCTATCCTCTAACTTTGGTTTCCAACACTGCTTATTTGAGTCAGTAGAATTGCTCAACTTTAATGCTATTGGTTCCTGAAGGTAAGTATACATGTGCAGACGTTTAGAGAATCGGTTTTGCCTAGTTAGGCAGAATATCAAACGTATTGTTGACTACAGTATCATACATTTCTTACAGAGTCAATCAACAAAGAAGGTTGTTGGCCTTCGACATTTTAAATGTGGTCAAAACCTCACACTGTGAAAAATTGAAAGACAATCTCTTTGATAGAAATTCATCATATCAAATGTACAAATAAAACTGGTGATGAATGGAACACAGTATTTTACTCTAAACAATTATTATACTTTTAGACAAAAGCAATTTGTGCCAAAACAGAGACCCTATTCTTCATTCATGTTCAGTCAGCTGGAAGCGTTTGGTTTCTGCTCACAGTGTCACATGATCAATCTTCTATTCAGAGTTCTCCAAGTATTAGCACATGTCAATGTCCCAAATTTATTTTCAAAAATTCTCCTCCTGCAAATTTCCAAACTTTGAAAGATAAACTTTACTGAGTTACCCACTCTTGATATAACAACTCTTCTGTCATGCAGTACGAAAATGTGCATCAGACAGCAGTGGTTTTGATTGAAGTCATTCTAACTGTTTACACCACCCCATTATGTTCCCGTTATTTGGTAATATTAATCGCTAAGTGTCTTACGAATCTTGGTGCGTAATAATATAATGTAAAGGGACTACTTAATTCGAGCTGTAACACATTTCCTATTTGATAATATCTCATAAATATAAAACATACTGGGACTATATTTATACAAAGCAAGTTGAAATAAGTACGACATTATTACAGTGTTAAAAAGTTTGAAACATTTTGAACGAAACAAACTATAACAATAAAGTGCAAATAACTTAGGTCAATTTTATGAAAAATGTTTTTCTTGCAACAAAGTTTATTTCTGTTTTTAAATTTACCTTTTTCCTAAAAAACAGATTGTTGTCACATTTCAAGCTGTGCCATGTGTCGACCAAATTATACATAATTCGTTGCAGAAGTTTAAAAGATCTGGGAATCACTTCTAAAAGTGTTTTAAGAACTATTACATTGTTGAATGAATCTAGACATTGCTTGATGCTAATGAAAAACCTTGTGTTGTTTCAAATTTCTAAACTTTGATTGGTCATACCACTTTACCAAACATTGGGGCTCTTCCCAAAAAATTTAGCTCAGTTTTAAGACTAATAACTCTAATTGTGATTCAATATGCAAGGTCAACCTTTCCAAAATTTTTTTAAGTTTCACCTACCTCTATTATAAGGCTTAGGAATTCTATATTTCTGTTCACCCATCATTGGATAAAATTCTGTATGGCTAGGATCATAATAACCCTGCGAATGTTCCAAACTTTCATAATCTGATGTCTCTTCATAAGCAGTTGTTGATGACATCATATTTTCATTACTAATATCGTTTAACGTCTGCAACGACTCGGAAATAGGGTAGGAAGCTGAAATTGCAAAAATCAAGGATTATTTCATGGGGTTAAAAATCAAAGTCAAAATCATTGTTTAGCAGAATGAACAGACAAGATTGGTTTGGAGCATGCTGGGACATAAATCTAATCTAATCTTGTTCAAAGGATGTGGTTTAGAAAAGAAACAACTGTATTTTACATGAAAAACAGCTCAGGCTACAAGGATAACAATTTAGGCTAGGTTACAAGAATAACAACTTAGGCTAGGTTACAAGGATAACAACATAAACTAGGTTGCAAGGATAACACTTTAAGCTAGGTTCCTACGTTACATATAAAACAATATTCCTTAACTAAACCTTTATGTAGGTAGGTGAAAAGTTTATACTTACTTTCAATATAAGGTTGACTGGTGGGGACCACACCAGGCATAGATTGGTCGGAATTAGGATAATCTGGAAAAAGCAAAAATAATTTTTATTGAGAAATTCAAAATTTGAAACCTTCAAATAGAACTAACTGGGCATGTGCCATCTGTTTGGAGATGAGATTCTGGTCATTTCAATTCCTTCAAAGCATAAAGGTTTCAAAAGCAGTAATAAATGTCTTCAGGTATTGCCTCCAAACTTCAAATTCAAAATGGCCGCTTAATGATACGAACATGTATCACTAATGTAATTGTTGCTAAGCAACTGTGGAAAACTATCATTAAAACAATTGTTGAGTGGGTGTGGCTCCACCTAGGTCACGATAGCATGTTTGGAGAAAGGTCAGACATCTAAATAAGGCATAACGGCAGAAGTGACGAGCAGTAATCATCTAAGGTGTGGTGTTGTGCATGCAAAATTCGTTAACATGGCAACTCACGTTTCTACTTAAAGACTAGATCAACCTTCAGTATGGAAGACTTCTACAAAGTCCTTGAACACACTTTCAAATATTTTGGCGTATGCTTGTTGTCTCAACCAGTATAAAGCTTATCCTATCACTTTGATATCAGAAGTGAGTAAAATTTCAAAAAGCAGAAAGGATTTTCAAGCAGAAGTGAAAACTTACTTTGACTATGTTGTTGTTGCTGTTGTTGCTGCTGCTGCATATATCTCTCACCAAACTCTGGCACACAGACTGGCTCATTATAATTCTGTGGAATATTACATAATAATGCCCTCTCTTGTGCCACTTCTACAACATAAGACAGAATTGAAATGAAGATTTTAGCAATATCTTACAGTGGGCAATGGAGACAATTTCCAAAATAGCAGGATTAGTTGCATATCTGTTGCTGCATGTTCTGTTCTTCTTCCGATGGATCTTTCATATGTGCTGCCTCTAGCCTCAAAAATTCAGATTTCAAATAAATTTTCAGAATTTCTGCCAGTGCTTCAGAAGATTTTCAATGATTTCATATAAGACTTACCTTTCTGAAGAATATCTATGTGTTCAAATAGAATATCTCCAACATAGGGTGGGCATCGATTTAAAAACGCTTCTTTTTCAAGCTTACATAAGTCTTTGCCCTTGATGGCAAAATTTGCCATATTCATACCCTCTAGGCTGAATTCCTTAACTGCCCATGTTATCCATTGGATTACGTGTAATTCACTCCATTGGCAAGGGTCTGAAAAAAAGATCAGTTATCATAATCATTTTAGAGATTTGCTTTCAAGAAATTATCAGGAATATTCAACACTTATTAGCTCCAGTCAGACATGAATGGCAAATACAATCTAATAGCTATGTCCATGTTTAAGAGACTCAAAAGAAGTTTTCTTGCAAATTTATTGCAAATAATTTTTGGAACCACTGCCACCATGGAACGGTGTAAGTAGAAGCTTCAAGTGTCCCCATTACATATACAAAGATGAAAATCATCTTTGGAATTCCTGTAAATGCACAAAGTCATCTGAGAATATTTTTCTCAATTTTCTTCATCAGTGTATTATAAATTGGTATATAATAAAGCTGGAATTCATTTTCACCGAGTTTATTTTATCATTGAAATGGCTATAACTATAGAAGAGGATTTAGGCTGATCTTCTCAATAAAATATACAATTATTATCAGATGGCATCTAGATATTTAAAGAAATTATTCCATATGAATTCTGAATCGAAAAGATTATTACTAATTTTGTTTACAATTTCAAAATAAATTAGTGCCAGACTCCAACAACTTTTTACCATTTTCAAAAAATAATAATAAAAAGTTGATACTGTTTGAAAGGGAGGCCCAAAATTCACAATTTGTCATACGCAGAGAGACTGTACATAATATATTAAACTCTGCAGCGGTATCAAGTTCTTACCTTTAGGAATATTCAGCCTTCTTTGTTCCTTCTCAAATGCTTTGAAACTTTCCAAGAGTGCCTGTGACATCTTCTGAGTAGTTCCAGGAGTCAATGGAGGAACTTGACTTGTTGGTAAGTCTGAAATTAGAGATTACAAAATTAAGTATATAGCAAAAAATCAAATGTAATTGCAAAAAAAAAAAAAGAAATATTGCCCATATTTTGAATTTTCATAATCAATGCAAAATCTCTCAATAGATATTGAGTGAACTATTGACCAAACTTTTAAAGAAAAAAATGTTGGTCCGAAAGCTGAAAAAAAACCCACTGAAATTCAAAAATTGTTAATCCAGTGTGTATAGCATGGTGATGTGTAGTATCAATGATGTTGTTGTACAACAAATAGAATGACACCAAATAGAATGGTTATGTGTAGGGTCAATAAACTGGTTGTTACTAAGATACAATGTTTCCTCTTGATTTCTTTTCACAGTTCATTAATTGGGCATCCTTGTTAATTTAATTGCACGTGCAGCTTCAAATATGTGGGCACAAGAGGATATAGATAATTAATACTCTATTGTGCAACCCACATTTCCTGAGATTTCAAAAAAATATTCTCAAATCTCCTATCCCGAAAACTGGATCAGAACATTTCATATTAGCACCATTAACACCATTGTTTATTTTCTAGAACTACAAACTTATACATCCTGAGCCTGTGCTTTCGTAATATTGTTTTGAGACTCCAAAACTTTAGTTATTTCAGTTTTTTTATAACAAATAAATGAAATTAATTTCTAAAAATCTAAAATAGGTTAAAACAAATATAGATCAAATTTTCAAAAAAGTACCATGGGAAACTTTTGTACCAAATCAAGAAATAATAAAGTATCAATAACTATGATAAAATTTTTTTTTTTAAAAATTCACAAGTTTTTGCAGCATTTACATCTTTTTGATACCTCAAAGATACAATTAGTACTTCAACTCTTCAAGATAAGAACTTGAAATTTTGTGTACGGCTTCATTTAAAATAATTAACCATAAAGTTTTCAAGTCTAATATTTTCATCATTTTTCTTTCATAAACATTCAGTAATTATTTTGCCAGATTTTTTTTCAGTGCTTTGACATGCCATTATCTGCTTTGAAATTTCAGAGAATACCCTGAAACATTTTTTAAATAGTATATTTATGATGGTATGAAAAAACAAGGGCTGTTATAAATATTTTGTGAATTTTGACAATTTAAATTTCAAAGAAAATTTTACTAAATCTTTCTGCTTTTTAAAATCCTGTTTCTATGTATACCATTTACCATTAGGGACTGATATACAAAGGAAATGAGTTTTGAAAGCACCGAGGCTGAAATTGTGGTAGCCCAAATGGCAATATAATATAGCATCAAATCAAAAAGATGGTTCCGTCAGAAGGTCTGCAGGTTTGCCTGCATTTGTTCCAACCAATAATTGCTCAAGATTATGGAAAGCCTAAATTTGTACACAGCCTTGTAAAGCAATGGCCAAGGTAACAGAAGACCTTGGCACCTGTGTTAAAACACAATAACAAACTCAATACAATATTTCTCAAATAATGATTCTTTCCAGATACTAGTTTTAGACGACACCATTGGGAAAAGGTAGAAAGCAGCAGAAGTGGAAATCTGGCTATGAATAATAATCACTACCCATCTTGAACAACATTTGATCACCAAAAGTCAACCTCACCCTTTCTAGCGAGTTCCAGCATCAATATTAAGTTGAACCTCGCCTCAATCTAAGAACACACTTACATAAATATATTAATAAACGGAATAATATCGAGCCATTCGGGCGAGCCTTCAATAAATATCAAATTCTACAACATTTGTTTCAGAAAAGTCTAGCAGAAAATACCAGCTGCATAAAATTGTAACAAGAAAAAATTTGACTTCTGCCTGTTTCGCCTTCAAAGACAACGAAAAAAATTGTATATTTGGATTTGGGGAGGCGCTTTTTTATAATAATATGTTACATACAGTATCATTTTAGTTTTCTATTTGACGTCTTGAAAAGTAAATAAGAAATTTAAGAAGGAATTTACTCCATTCATGACCAATTTCTAAAATAAAAATTTTAAGAAATAATTTCAATGAAAATAACTGGCATTTTTTCAAATACTTTAATATATAATATTTACTAGAGTCAAATTATTTGGACAGGTTATCTGACTCAATGATTGGTCGAAAAATGATGTTTGTTTACAATTTTCAGAAATTTAGAGAAATTTTGTTTACGAGTTTCTAATCTTTTAAATGAATTTCGTTCATTTGAACAGGTGAAATTGATTTTGAAGCAAATCTCTCAGGAAGTGATGGCTCATTATCGGCACACTTTACATATGTTAGAATGAATGAAATAAATGGAGTGGAAAAATGGAGGAATTAGTGAAAATCTATTAACTCTTGAATTAAAACTGACAGATCAAGCCTGAGAGGCTACTTAAGCTTAAAACAATACTTATATCTTAAGCTTAAAACAATACTTATATCTTAAGTACTTAAAATAGAGTTAATATTTTTGTGAATTTAATGTCATTTTAGAAAATGGTCAAGAGCCCAACAAAACAATTTATCTTAAGATGTTATAAGGATTACCTATCAAAGATTGGAAAATATATTTATCAACGCTGGATATTATACTCTAAAAATACAAATATTTTGGGGAATAATTTTCTTATTCATTTATTTGCAGCAAGCAAAATATTTGCATTTTAAGCATACCATTACAATAAATTTGATCAAAAGAAAGTCAAAGGTAGTCAATCAATTTAAAAGATGGAATTATACTTCATCATGAAAAATAATTATTTTTTCTCAAACTTGTATTAGATGTGATGGAAAATACATAGAAGCACTGGCCCAGGTCAAAACTAATGACCATGAAAAATGTCAAAATTTCATGGAATATTATTTACTTAATTGAATTGAAGTTCTTTCAAGATGAAGAATTTGTATGAAAAATCACAAAGTAAGAAATATCCAAAAATATGTTTCATTAATTTATATATTAAATTTGGAATTCAATAAAGCAATTTTCAAGACAAAAGGGAACCAATTTCAAGATATACAATCTGATATTCCTAAGAATAACAGACAACATTCCAATTTTTGAAAAACTTGTAAAATGTCAAGAGAATTTATTTACTGATAGATGAAAAGGTTGAATCAAAAGTTTTTAAACAGCTGAACTTAAAATTCAAGGTTCATTTTGGTAATAAATAATTTAATTTGTCACCTTAATCTGCTGAACAACAAAGGCTTCAACTTTCCATTGATTTCATAGAAATTTCAGAAATTAGATACATCTACTTTGATTGTATGATACAGAGAAATTAAATGCTTTGGAAGTTACCGCTACAAATGGCAATGGGTCAGGCAACTGTATTATACATTTATGGAAGTTGTTTTATGTAGAAAACTGTTTTAGGTTTTTTGTTTTTCAGACTACGCTAGGTAAAAAAAAATTATTGGAAGGATACTACCTCTCTCAAGAGGTCCACTTTTATTTAGTTTCATTACCGGGATGTTGTTAACCGATTGTTTTTTCACCTGATTTTGTCCTGTCAATGGATTTTGAGACTTTGGTATTCTTTCATCTGGCTTTAATTTGAAAATGTAAATGTGTTTAATTTGTCCATATTTTTTTTTTTGGGGAATGCACAAAATTAAAAAAGTTAGGTATCGTAATGCTGTCTTGTCTGAAGTAGGCCCATCAAATTGTTCCTTCAATATTTTCACATCCAAATAGTTATCATCAGTTGCTTTCCCTTGAGTAAGATTACTCAAAAGCCTTTTAAACCAATTAACAAATATGATAAAGTAATTAATAAACTTTCTCCTAACCTTTGAAATCTGACACTGTGCTAATTACCTCCCTTGAATTATAGGGCCTACTTGATAATCTCCCTTGATATGTTAATCAACCCCTCATTAACCCCTAATTACTCCTTTCAATGACTGGGAAGTAAAAAGTGAAAACTGTTATCAACAAGAAACCCTGTGAGAGAGATAATGGCCCAGAATAAATAAAGAAGAAGGGGGGTAGCTGGTACTAAGTCCCCTTGCTAGTTAGGGATCTTGTAAATGGTAAAAGATACAGCAGACCTCAGCAGGGGGGTTTATGCTTGAAACAAGAAACCCCTGAAAGACAAGTGGTTGAAAATTAGATGCCCCGGGGCTAGGAGTTTAAAAGGGTTAACATGAATTATGGCATGCCATAAGTATCAGGCATTTAAAGGGTTAACTGTGAATTATTGGTTTTTGGTGATGATCAACCTCTTGCTGAGATAAAATCAAAAAGTAATTAGGGATTTGGATAATGATGTTGGGTGTCTTAACTTTCCCTATTTTGATCAATTTAAGATGGTCTCTTCCATTAACAATTGTAAATAAGGATCAGAGTAAAAATGTCACTTCACATATTTGTTTTTCTTAAAAGTGGCAAAGGATTGATTTATTTTGTAAAAGAATGTTTCAAACTATATTAAATCACTTATCCTTACTTGTCTAAAATTCCAAAATATAAATTATGGTACAGTTTGAATTCTTATAATTTTTATTGTTAAAAAAACCTTATTCAAAATTTCATATAAATCCATATCTACATATTTCTACCATTATAATTGACAAAAGTTTAATAAATATTTTTTGCCTTTTATTTCGTTGAATTCCCAAATATGCCTGGAAAAAATTGTCATAAATCTAATAAATTTATTTATTTCAATACTTGAAGTAATCAAAATCATGTTGTTCAAATGCTAATTTTCTCCTTGACTTTTTAATAAATCAGTTGGAATGCTTCAATATTGTCATTTACCCCTATTTCAATGTCTGGGCAATGTCCAAAATGGAGTTGATGATTTTCACCATTGAACCAAATTAAGTCATTTGCTCTTCAAATTATCTTGTTGACATTTAACCCTCTACATCAAATTTACTGCCAGTGGTCCTGATCTCGTTGACTTTTGAGTCAATTAATTCCATAATTAAAGAATAGGGGGGGATTTTGACATGAATTATTATTCCTAACTCTTCAATTTTGAAGATATGAAGAGTGCGCCTACCTAAATATGAATGCTGATGTCCATTTTGTTTTAGTTGCATATTTTAGTGATGCAGATAGCAAACTCTTGACATACAAACAATTTTCATAGCATTTTATATTATTTATATTTTCCCTCATTGCACACTGCATGCCAGTCCTCATTAGCCCAATTAGATGCAGAAGAGTAGTATATATATAATTTTTTCTTTCATTTTTTATTTATTTCACTTAGAATTATGGAATTCTAGACTTATACATTATCCATAATCATAAAAATCACTTGCCATTTCAATACGAAATCTTAAAAGTATTTAGTTTCACCTAACAATGGTCTCAATCTGGTTTTTTCATTTCAGATTAGACACTTGTTGTCAAAGATAAACTTTGTGACATATCCTCTCAAGAGGCAGCTTAATAATGACTCTCATTCATTCATCTACATCATTATTTATTCTTTCACATCATTTATCTATCAATCAATCTAATATATTCACACTTTCTCTCTATCCTTGAAATAAAGTGAGCTTGTCAAACAGTAAGGGGTTCAAGTTAATAAAGATTTGTCATGGTCCATTGAACAAGTCAAGAGGCTGGCCCTTATTCAACTTACACCATGTAATAAAGGAGTGAATGCCTAGTGTTTAATTTGACATTTCCCTTGACTAATGATAGAGATCATTTACTAACTATTATCCAGCTCTTCACTGGACCTATTATTACATATATTTAACTTGTCACTCAATCTTCCAGTCTTTCACTCATATCTCACTTTCCATGCCTCATTATATTTTTAACTGGTCCCCATCATCACCATTGGAAAACTGTACCTTGATTATTTTTAATAGGTTGTTTTTAGCACTTTCCTAATTATGGTTTCACATTTTTTTGGACAATTGCACTGATAACTTCCATTTTACTGCACAGTTTTGCATTAAGAAAATCTTCAGCAAACTGACGTCTGCAAAAGTCCTTTTTTTGAATTTAATGGTGTATGCTTTCAAAAGTTGCCCAAGATGCAGAATCCCTGTTTAAGTTGTTTGAATATTAAAAAAAAGTCACATCTTTATGTAAAACACTTGCAGGTTGTTTGAAAATAATTCATTCAAAATTTTTGATTCATTATTTAGAATATTGATGTAAATCCATAATTTTCAAACATAAATACCATAAGAGTAAATTTTGAACTGATGTATATTTCTGCAAATATACTTATCTTAAAACAAATTGTGTCATGTATTTATTAATTAATATGGCCATGTACGATTTTAAATATGGCAAAGTTTATGGTAGGTTTTTACTTTTGATCATTTAATTCCAAAAAATATATAATGTTATATATTATGTTATATATGTTATATATAATTATTTTTTTACATGAAATAATAATAAAATAAAACCTAAATCATCTTTGATATTAGCTATTTCAAAAGCAAAAAATTTTGTAATGTACATATTGATAATAACTCTTAAAAAACAATTGCTTTGCTTTTTGTATTTGTGTAATTTTTTACAAAAGTTGTGTGGATCTAAAAACTTTCTGGATAATTTTATTTTATAATTCATTTGAAATTTTTACAAATAAAATCAATTTATAATTTTCATTGGCAAAAAATATTCCAATATCAAGATACCAAAATGAATCCTGCAAATTATCTGATATCAGAATTACAATCTTGTACAAATTAATATTTGAACAGAAAGCCTTATAAATCAAAATTAGGGTTCAGTTATTTTTATTTATGATAGCTCAAGATTATCATCTATAGATTTGTTCCAGGTTGGTTTTAGATTTCTAGTATCTTCTGAAGACCAAATAAATAATAATGTCAAAAAATAAAGTATTAATTAAAATGCCATATTTTGGTGCTGACCTGTAGTTTGATTTACTGCGAGCCTGTAACCAAATCCTCAATATCATTTTGATAGCATTTGAGATAAAACCTGGACATCAATTATCGTATTTGTGTTTTGGGTTTCAGTTTCAGAATTGCTGACAGATTTGTATTCAAATTTTATTATATGAATTATAAAGCTTTTCTATTTCTGTGTTATATAATCAATTATCAAATATCGCAGGTTTTTCCTTTTTCAAGAAATTCCCGAATTATTGAGAGAAGTTTTATAGTAAAACTTGAAAATTGTGACACATTTTATGAAAAAATAAAAAGCTTTCTATAATCAGAGAAATGAAATAACTTAATTAAACACTTAAAAAATTCACTTTCGATGGTCAGAAATGGCAAATTGTCTAAATCCCAAGGAAAAGTAAATTGTCTTACTGATGGACTGATTACTTTTACAGGTAATACATCTTTGATTAGTTATATGTAAATCAAATTATCATCTTAAAAATAGTCACTATAAATATGTAAAAATTAAGATATTCTATTTTGAAATTTTTGTTAACAGAGGGTAAATTTCAGTTATAATTTTTGGATATTGAACTGTGAAGTTGATATTGTGTTATATCGAAAAGTCAAGTTCGAAAGCTTTATGTTTCTATTGGAGTAGCAGAGACAATCTATGACCATTTCAAATCTGATCTAACGATTCATAGATAAAGAAAACATAGGATTTACTTAACTGAACCAAATAACTTATCCAATCCCAAATCCTGGTAGCAGACTCTTTTAGAAAGTATTCTCATAGAAGTGGAGAGATTATTCAGAAGAGATGGCCTTCAAATATGCCTTATTAAGAAAATGAAGATGGCAGATTAATAAATATACGGAACATTTCGATTTTGTCACTTGAAAAAGTTCTTTTAATATTTTAATCATTTTTGATACTGAAGTTTTTAATTGGTTTTACTTACCATTTCTACAAGCATACAAATGTCCATTTCTGGCATGTTGAGGCCACAAATGGGTGTACAGATTATTCCTTGGTAATATCATAGCTGGTCCTTGAAGAGGACTTGGAGATCCTGCTAACATTTCACCCTGATAGGACCTCATTTAGGAAAAATAAATTCAAAATCCACAAATTAAACTCATTGATTGATTAAAAGTAATTAAAACCTTTTGATCACAGACAAATAATAGCACAGAATAATAAATAGTTCAACTGGAGATCAACAAAAATAAATTGTCAAAATAAATTATTCCAAATTGACGGCAACTTGATAAATATTAATAAATAAACTAAACACTGTCCGCTACAAACTAAACTTCTACGTTAACGACAACTTTTACCGAAAATGTGCGTTACAATTCAAAACTGCACCAATTTCATGTCAAACGCATCTCTGTTTGAAAGTTTTAGCACTTTTAAAAGAAAAAATCCTGCACTCTCTTACACTGAGAAAACTTAGTTGATAATCGTAACACAAACACTCTAGAGATGGAAAGATGAAATATAGTTAATTCTTCTACTAACAAACATTATATAGTCGTCCCATTAACTCTTTTTCAGTTCACTTCTGTACTGAGTCGGTCATTTTCTTTCCACTGACCAAAATCCTTTTTATCACTTGTCTCAGCAAACACCAAGTTATTAACTACAGACAATTCATAGCTTCAAGCATCAACTAGTTAAAATCATGAATGAAAGTTACCCCCTTTCCCCTTTAAACCAATAAATCACTCACATTAACTCGACCAATCAGATGGCTATAACCAGAACACAGAGAATTAAGCTCCTCCCCTTCCACTATTGACCTAGGTTTATGAATGAATTCCCTTCCCAAACAGATGGTTTTGTCTGATTTCCATGGTCTCAACACTTTATGAATGAGCAATCATTTTGGAGGTGTTTTCACAAATTTGGTTTTTGTGAAGAAAAACCTATTTTAAAGATAAAAAACCTCCTGTGCGTTTGAGCCACTTTGTTGCAGACAGGAAAAGGAATGAAAGAAACATTGGTCCTTGTATGATAAATACTTGTGTTAACAAAGAATGAATAGAAGATTCCTTTTTTTCATGAACAAATTAACGTTTGGTTGATACAATTACAGCAGTTCACCTCAATTATATCTTTATTTCAATTGGAACAAGTGAACGGTTGTGATGTTCACAGATGTAAATTTAGTAACAAACTCAGGGGTTTGTTTCGTTCAAAAACTGTTAAAATCAACAGAATTTTCATTTTAGAATTTTATCATAAAGTCAATGTTTAATTACCATGACAATGATCAGATTTGGAACATCTGACACTTTGTGACTTGTGTTTCCATGGCAATTACTTACAGTCACATGCTACAATTTTTTGGGGTGTTTTCTTCAAAGTAGGTTATTAATTTGCTAAAAACTTGGCAATACTACACTTTGGTTTGAATATTAACTTTAAATGGCTACCTACACTACAATTACGTTGCAATTTCTATATATTTTGAGTGAAAATTCACCATGTACCAAATCAGTTTTGTTTCATAGAAGTCATAGTTGAAGTTACCACAGACTACTTTGAATGTAGTGAACTCCTTTAGGGAGTGGTAAACACAGATTTTCTCTTGTACTCTTTATCTAACAGTCTATATCTTCATACTTTGGTATCATTTGGGATTAACTATACACTTTTAATTATCAAGCAACAGTTTATATTATATTAAATGTTAGCTCAGCTATGCTTACTCTTTTAGACACCTGATACCACTTTTCATAATGAAATACTTATTCATTTATAATTGATATACTTCCTCATATTAATTGTTCATTTGCTGCTTCTACCAATGTAGCCTATTGCCAAACGGTTACTTTGGATTTTGAGTTTCGGTTGCCGGTTTGGATCATTTGTACTTTTTAAAAATTTTTTTATCTCTTATGTCATATTAAGGAGATGCACACTAAATATTATATAAGTGCACAAATTTAATTACACTATTTTTTGTCTTTTATTCCCATGAATGAGAATAAAAAGTGAAGTCTAAAATTCAAATGAAAAAAAAATGAAAGAGGATAAAATTAATTTTTTTATGCAAAGTGAAGCTAATCAATTGAAACTATATTTTTATCACAAGGGATGGTTTAGGATGAGATAAAAACTTGTATCACGAAAACCTCTAGTGAATAAGACCCCAGGAGAAAAGGCAATGTCTTACGGCAGTTTTTACGTTAAATCTGACGTCAGTCAAAATCTTAACAATATCAAATAGGTTGAAGAGATTTCAGTTTTTACGTAACCACAAACAAAGATGATAAAAATATATCATTTTAGTTTATTCAATAATTTTTTTTAACAATTGTTTATATTTTTTTTAAACTTTGAATTCAACTTAAAAAATCTGTCAGCCTATCCCTATACAATCATCAAAATTCCCTGAAAACTCCAAGAAAACCCCGAAAAGCTCATATGTTGCAACATCTTGCTAAATTATCATACATGTAACTGGTTAACGATTGCTTCCAGAGAAAAAATATACATAGTCGAAAACAAGATATTATCAAATTTGGTCAAGGTTTCAGTTTATAAATGGTACATCAAGATAAGAATATTGATTATGAATTTTGTTATTAAAATTCAAGTAGCTTACATTGTTTATTTGAGATTTTAATTATTCTGAAAGGGAAGGAAGTCCCTAAAACACACTTTATTAATGTTACAATACGTCTTCAATTACATCACAAAGTGGGTCAGAGCTCAAGAAGGATGCCGATTTTCATTCATAAAATGGCCAGAAACTATTTTCAGCGAGAAAAGGAAATTTAAGAACTTTTCATAAGGAAATTCGAAAGACGTTGCCTCGGGATTTTTATGATGTCATTAAAACAAGGAACAGTGGCCATATGTATTTCAAACTAGGTCTAGTTGAACTTTGAAAATATATTTATGAAAAGATAAAATAAGGCTCATAACTGCAATTATCTATATAGACTCAATATAAAGAATATGTAACCTATATAAGTATTTGAATTACTCGTAAGAAATAAAAATCTTTGACTGCATAAAAGGATAACAGAAAATTATAGAACCTTTCTAGGCAATAGTGCCATCAAATCTTAGAAAAGCAGCAGAAAGGAGCAAAAAAAAAATGATAATAGAGCAAATACTAAATTTCACAATAAACTTATACAAGAAAATAGCGGAAAGGTCCCATGAGGATGACAAAATGACAGCACCAAATTAAGAAGAACTTCTCTAAGATATCAAAAAGGTTCAACAATTCCAAGAACAGGAATAGAAAAAATAACAGCCCAATTATATCTACCAATTGACAACACAATAAATACTGAGCTATGGAAATCAGAACTTAAAAACTACAAAAAAGAAGCTAAAAGCAGAAAAACCAAATGATAAACATAAAAATACAGAACCTCTCTAAGCACTGAAGCACATCCTTCCAAAAACACAAGTCAAATGAAAAAGTTTTAGGACAACAACATCAGAGATATGCACTCTATTACTCTGTATTACATTTAAAACAATACACCAAAATAATTCTTAATAGATAGTGTACATGTTTTCATACAAAAACTCTTTCCTTTTGATAGCGATTGAATAAATATCCTTTCCAGAAAAAATCGTAAAATTGAAAAGCTTCACTCCTCGCTAAAAATAACATACATGTAAAAACATGACAACAATCCCTTCAACAGCAGACGTAACTTTTGATGAAATAGAAGTTATCTTTCGCTCTCTAAACATGGAGATAAACAATGTATTGGGTTGAAAATGTAAATATAAACATTACAATAAGACAATTAACATAAAAACATATAACAAGCTAACAGATATATTTAAAACATTTATTCCTTATAAAGTGGATGAGAAACTTAGGATATAAAATTTTAGATAGGTAAAAGATGGCTATGGTATATCCCACAGAGGCCTTGGATATATTCCATTTTAGGTTGAAAGTCGAAAGAAAATCCATTCAAACAATACCTACAGGCCAAAATTAAAGTTTTTTCAACTACAGATAATCTGGGAATGATCAATGACCAGCTGGTAGAAAGGATCCTTGTGAACCTAAGTTATTATCCTTGTGAACCTAAGTTGTTATCCTTGTGAACCTAAGTTGTTATCCTTTTGAATCTTTGTTGTTATCCTTGTTTCTTTCTTTTCATTTGTAAATTTCAATAGATTTCGGTGAAATTTTCATTCATTTGATGATTAATTAAATATGTGATACATAACCAATGTTTTGGGTACACCATCCTCATCAGGACAGCTAGTTCTGATAACTTAAACATGGCCTACAAATTCCCCATTAAAAAAGCGTGTTCTCATAAAATTATGTTGATGATAAAAAGATATGATGATAGAAAAGTTTAAAAATCTAAATGTGAAGTGATGAAATGTCATTTTAAAATGTCAGAAAAAGTTATCAGCAGGGCAACTGAATTTGACACACTATCTCAAACTGAACAAGGTAACATTCAAAACATTGAGGCTCTAATTTTTTTCCATTTCTTTTCAATTGACTCCATTTGAAGGAAAGGTCAGAAATTGTACAATTTAATCTGATTAAATGTGTCTTGAGCATGATATGTGATTTCTTATTTGGTGCAGAAATTGAACCCAAAAACCATGATGTTATAAACAACAGTTAAATGCATAGTGTCAAAATGTGAGGTCGTGAAAAATCAGGGGATTAATTTGACAAATTGGGAGATTTTTCACCAATTTTTTCCCCAACACTTACATTCAATTCATATGAATGATTTTACCTCAAGGAGTGTAAATGTTGATAAAAAATTAATTTGATTTACCCCACAAAAAACTGTTTTCTTAAGACTCCTTTCCGTGGGGTTGGTGTAAAAATTTGGATGTTTAAAAACAAATGAAAGGTAAGAAAGGAAACCGTCTGCACCTTATTATCATTTTAAACCCCTTCCCTCATTGATTACTCCAAAAAATCTCATCCTGTGGGTCAGGTCAAATAAAAACTCTGACAAGCTGAAATCATTTTTTACCCATAAGTCTCTTAAATTTGATAATGAAATCAAGTCATTGAATCAAAAAAAATTTTGAATGAGAACATTGTCAGCATGACGTATGGATTTGGCACCAAAAAAGC